GCCTCTCGACAAAAAATAAAATAAAATAAATCCTGGATTTGCCGGGGGGAAATGAACTATCAGTTGCTAACGTTGAGGCTGTGCATTTAGCTAACAAGGTGCTTGCCATCCTTTTGGGCCTAGCAGGTAAGACAGCATCCTGCAGACACACACACACCCTGGGCATGTAGACAGAGTTTTAAGGACCCCATCCATCATTTCATAGGGTGGGGGGGAGGAAAAGGTCTAGGCATCTACTGTCAAGACCATGGGTAGGCAAACTAAGGCCCGGGGGCCAGATCTGGCTCAATCGCCTTCCAAATCCGGCCTATGGACAGTCTGGGAATCAGCATGTTTTTACATGAGTAGAATATGTCCTTTTATTTAAAATGCATCTCTGGGTTGTTTGTGGGGCATAGGAATTTGTTCATTTCCCCCCAAAAAATATTGTCCGGCCCCCCACAAGGTCTGAGGGATGGTGGACCGGCCCCCTGCTGAAAAAGTCTGCTGACCCCTGGTCAAGACGGTAGGTGCCGTTTGGACCCCAGCCACCCAAAATCCAGCAGCCACTTTGCTTTCTATTATATGGAGGAAATATATGGAGAACCAGTGTGGAATAAGGGGTTAGAGTGCTAAACTAGGCTCTGGGAGACCAGGAGCAGTGGCGGACTTTGGGGTCTCAAATTTCGGCAGGGCCCTGAATTTGTGCCATGACGAAATTTGTGCAAAATCCATGCCTCTCGTGCTGCGTTCTACACCACGGTTGTGGCAGCCGACCAGTGAAACCACATCAGCCGCCCTACCCTAAAACCGCCTCTGCTGGGTTCGTATCCCCACTTGGTTATAAAGCAGACTTAGGCTGTGGTATTGGGAGCTGATCACTGTCTCTCTCGGTCTCACCAAGGTGTGGCGCTGTGGGTTAAACCACAGAGCCTAGGACTTGCCGATCAGAAGGTGGGTGGTTTGAATCCCCGCGACGGGGTGAGCTCCAGTTGCTCGGTCCCTGCTCCTGCCAACCTAGCAGTTCGAAAGCACATCAAAGTGCAAGTAGATAAATAGGTACCACTCCGGCGGGAAGGCAAACGGTGTTTCCGTGTGCTGCTCTGGTTCGCCAGAAGCGGCTTAGTCATACTGGCCAATGACCTGGAAGCTGTACGCCAGCTCCCTCGGCCAATAAAGCGAGATGAGCGCCAGTCACGACTGGACCTAACGGTCAGGGGTCCCTTTACCTTTAGGCTGTGGTCTCACCTACCTCACAGAGTTGTTTATTTTATTTTTAAAAATACCTTTCATTAAGGTTTCTAGAGGAAAATACAAAACTTAATATCTTTTTCCCTATATATATATATATATACACACACACACACACACACACACACACACACACACATATACAGGAAAAAAACCAAACCAAGACTTTTATCTAGATAGAATCAAAGCACAAAAGGGAGGGGGGGTCAATAGAGAAAGAAAAATGAATAAAAAGCGTGGAAAAGAAGGGTTAAAAGGGAAAGGTAGAAAAAGGTTGTTGTGGGGATTAAATGAGGAGGGGGAGAAGAATCGCATGTGCCACTTTGAGTTCATTGGAGGGAAACAGTGGGATACCAGTGCAATAAATAAAAAATAAAATGATAAGTTGAGTACTTGGGAACTGTGGCTCTGTATCTGGAATTAGGTTCTTGCGGGGGGGGGGGACTCAGAGCCACCCACCAGCTCTCCCGCTTCCCTCTCTCATATCTGAAATCTTAAGGTGGTTATCCAACTAAGTCCTGCTCTGTGAAGTGAATGGGCCTACGTGAGTCGCGCTCGTCAACTTCAGTGAGTCTGCTCTGCACAAGACTGGCATTGAAAAGACAAGCCTTGGCATTCATCGGGGTTTTGATTTTGTCTGGAAATCCTATCTGCTGTTGAGACTGACCGTTTCTTTGCTCCAGATCCACAGATTACAGTGGAACCTCAGCTTATGTACTTAATTCGTTCCGGAGGTCCGTTCTTAACCTGAAACTGTTCTTAACCTGAAGCACCACTTTAGCTAATGGGGCCTCCTGCTGCCTCCATGCCACCGGAGCACGATTTCTGTTCTCATCCTGAAGCAAAGTTCTTAACCTGAAGCACTGGGTTAGCGGAGTCTGTAACCTGAAGCGTATGTAACCTGAAGCGTATGTAACCCGAGGTACCACTGTACATATAACCTGGCTGCCTTGTCTCCCACAGAACTCAATGGGAGCCATTTGGAGCTCAACCTGTCTCTCTTATCCGCATGACCCGGCCTCCCTTAAATTTGCATGGCCCCGCCCCGGGCTCCGTTTGTCACACTGAAGTGTAACACAGAGACCGGAAGCGGGTTTTGAAAAGAGAGGACAATGCAGGGAAATCGTTGTACATGCTGTGCAATGGCTGTGATTCCTGCATTGCAGGCGGTTGGTCTAGAGGACCTTTGGGGGGGTCCCTTCCAACGCTACAATTCTCTGATTCCATGTCCCCCTATCCTCGCTTGAATTAATTCTGTGTGCAGAGGCGTTCATTTTTACCTTCTCTGACCTCTTTCGAATGCCGCAGCACCTCCTCTTGAGCATACGTATTTATTTATTCATTTCTTTATGTAAAATTTATAAAGCGCTTGATTGCAAACCAAAAGCTCAAAGCGGTTTACAAAAGAAGAAGAAGATAAAACCGTAACATTATCACTGGAAAGAAATTAGCAGCAATGATTTCAAAGCCTTTTGAAAAGTGGAAATAACAATAGACCAAACACAGAATTAAAACTCGCATCAACTGTCTAAACACCTGAGCAGGCCTGGGTTTAAAATAAAAATGTTTTTAGCAGGTGCCAAAAGAGTGCCTGGAAAATGCCACTGCCTAATATCAATAGGCAGGGGGTGCCAAGGTATAGGATGAATTCTGAATAAACTGGTGGTATAGAAAGGGCCTTGGTTGAAGAGGCACACTCACATACCTGTGCACATATTGAAACGAACACATTCTCAGAAAGAAACCAAAAACGAGAGCACAGAGAAGGTCCCACTGCATGATATCAAGTGGCAGGGAGTTCCAAAGTTTAGGATGATTGCTGAATAAACCGGTGGGTCCTTAGCTGCAAGGCACACGCACGCACGCACACTGTGCACAAATGGAAACAAACACTTATGCAGAAAGAAACCTAAACCTGTGCAATGAAAGTGCTTGCCTGATATCAATAGGCAGGCAGTTCCAAAGGTGCCGAGTGTGTTTCCTCCCTGCCTCTGCACATTCAGCATCCTGAATGGGCCTCTGAAGCTGAATCAAGCCCGTTCAAAGGTGCCTGCATCAGCTCTCTCCTTCTCCGCTGGGATGGGTTTGTGCGTGTGGGTCCTTTGTGACCATCTCTGTGTGTTATCAGACGCAACTTTTGAAACGACAATGAAAGGAAGATAAACACCTCATCTGCAGGGCCTAGTGTTCGGCTTGACAAGGTCACCCACTGAACCACAGCTTTAAAAAAACAAACAACCCACATCTTTGCCTTCTCCCTCCTAATTCATTGCCCTCTGATGGCTGATTTAAAAGCACACAACACGGATCCAGAGGGGGGGGGAGGACATGGGATATTTATCATGTTGTATTGACCGACTCGGCCGGGAAAGAACTGGCTTACAAATTAAAATTAAAACATCAAGGGAGGAGCAGTCACGTGTGGGCTCCCCCCAGCCAACATCTACCCCCACCCAATTCTTCCATCCGTTTTGCATCATATTTGGAAGTCGGGATCTGTCTCTATCTTCTCCCTCACCCCCCAAAATGCTGATCAAACATAGCTTTCCCCCCACTGTCCAATGACCTTATTTCAATATCACAGCAACATCCACCACCACCCCCAAAAAACCACCCTGTAAGGATGCTTTTGAGTCAAGGGACCTGGGAGGGGAGGTTAAAATAATATATAATGGCTGAAAATGATGGGGGGGTTGAGAGAGAGTGGTGACCCCCTTTAGGAAATCCCTCCTCCCCGCTTTGTTAGCGTAGCAAAAGAAAGATTCCCGAACTCACCAATTTTCAAAGGCAGCGGGGTAAAAGAGTTTTTAAGAGATCTGAAGGGGGGGAGGGTGGAATGAGAGGTTCTCAAAATTCGGAAGCCGGAGGCAGACCCCCAACTCCCCACCCCACGCCTGTCCCACATTTTCCTTGAATGACATATCATAAGCTTCAATTCCAGCCTCTAAATGTCAAAACGCCCTGATTTTCTTTAAAATAAGGGAACCATCTCCAGAAGGCTGAAATTAAAACCTTCCTCAGCACATCCCACACAATCCAGCCTCTCTCTTTTTTATAAAAAAAGGGGGGGGAGACGGGTATTTTTAATTTCTGGCATTTCCTTTCCGCCATCCGTTCTCCAGGCTCACCCTGTTCATAGATGGTGTATGTGACAAGGATATTGTTGCCGGGGGCGGAATATCAGAAACAACCTCCCCTGAGTGCCCCCCCACACCCCACAGTCAAATTATTTGGTGGGCCCTGGGAAGACAGGGGGGGGTCCAGTCTGCAGAAAGATGAGCGCAGAGTTAAGAACAGCCGCTACCACTAAACACCCCGAATTTGCGATTCTGAACACCCCCAAGGTCATTCCGAGCTCTGTGTGCACACACTTCGGTCCTTCCGAATTTCAATATTCCCCCCCCCCCTCGTTTGCAAAGCCGGATATAAATAAAACCTCCCGTAAAACCGAGATTCCAAAGTCAGGAAGCCTAGTCTTCCCTTGGCCAACTATGGCTCCCCAGCCTGGCTGCCAAGAAAGATGAAGGATGCCACAAGAAATTGGCGAGGGGGGAGGCGAGAGGAAGAGAGACTTGCAGAAATTCAGGCCGAACCCAAAGGCAAGGTTTTCCAGGACAAAATGGCCACAGCACCGAGGAAGAGATGTGGTGGTGGTGGTGTAATTTGGGGGGGGGGCGGTGGTTTTGCCACGCCAACCACCCTCAACAAGGTGGCGGGAAAAGGCAGGCAGGCAGGCACCTAAGGAAGAGAGCGGAGATAACCCTGCTTACCTGGCTCCTGTGGTACCCAGACACAGCTCTCCTCCTATCTCAGGCGCTCACCATCAGCCGGCAAAGGATGCTACTGCAACCAGGATGCAGGAGGAGGGAAGGACCAGAGCTGGCGGGAGGGAGCAGCGTTAACACTGCAGCTTCCAACGAGGAGAATGAGGATGGGAGAGTCCATTGTGGCAGGGAGAGGAAGGGAGGGGCGGGCAGGCGAAAGAGAAGGGGTTGGTGGGGGGGGGTGTGATGCAGTAAGGGGTTCAGGACCAAGCAAAATTGGGCAGATTTGGGGGAGAGAGAGAGGAAATAATCGGCTCTTCCCCACCCCCGGCGCTCAGTTACCTTCGGTCTCCGTGCTGGAGGACCTTTGCCAGCTCAGGTTTCTGCAGGCTCGGAGATATTTTTTTCCGTTTTAACCCCAAAAAGGGGAGTCCAAGTGACTAATGGCCTCGTTAGGCAGTTCCAGCTGACGGTGTGGTTTTTCTTTTTCTTTCTTTCTTTCTTTCCCGGTGGTGCGAAGGGAAAAACGAAACAGAACAAAAAGGGGGGAGAGCTTTTTGCTGGTAGATTCCCTTTGAAAGTCCCCAGAATGGGGAACGAAAGGTTAAAGGGTGGGGAAAGGAAGGGTTAAATGGATGCGGGGGTTTAAATTAATCTCGTTTTCTTCTATTTGTAAAAAAATGTTATTCGTTTATTTGTTGCATTTCTGTCCCACCTTTTCGTCTCCAAAGAGCTCAAGGTGACAAACGTGGTTCTACCTTCGTCCTCGTTGAATTCCACACAACAGCCCTACGAGGTAGCTTGAGATGAGGGGCAGTGACTGCCTCAAGGTCACCAGTGCTGGATTTAGGGCAGTGTGGGCGGTTCCCATGCACAAGGCGACGAGCCGAGGGGGGCGCAAAATTGAGAAGACCCATAACTGAGAAGATCCATTTGGGGGTGACAATTTTTGGCTGCACTCAGGGCGCCATATTACCAGAGATTATCAAAGTCTGCTCCGAGGTCACCCAGTATGCTTCATGGCCAAGTGGAGATTTGAACCCTGCTCTCTCCTGGATCCAAGTCTTACACTCTAACCCTAGCTTTCTGGTTGCAGGGAAGGAAGAAAACAGAACAAGGAAGCTCCTTGGTTGATGTCAGTAGGGATTGATACATAGCCACACTGCCTCCTCCAACAGGATATTTTAGCCTGCCAGCGGAAGGGAGCCAGTCTAACCTCGTTTGGGAGGCAATCCTATAATCTGGGGCAGCCACAGAAAAGGCTCTGTCCCTTGGGTCACCACCGACTGTGCCTCTGATGTTGATGGGACCAAGGGGAGAAACTCATCTGAGAATTTTGGCATCTGGGCAGGTTCGTATAGGAAGATGCAATCTTCCAGGTAGCCTGGGTCCAAGGCAATATATGCTTAAGACCATGGGTAGGCAAACTAAGGCCCAGGGGCTAGATCTGGCCCAATCACCTTCTAAATCCGGCCTGTGGACGGTCCGGGAACCAGCGTGTTTTTACATGAGTAGAATGTGTGCTTTTATTTAAAAAGCATCGCTGGGTTATTTGTGGGGCATAGGAATTCGTTCTTTTTTTTTCTCTTTCAAAATATAGTCCAGCCAGCCCCCTGCTGAAAAAGTTTGCTGACCCTTGCTTAAGACCGTCTCTAAGCAGTCTACAAAATAATGAATACATTGAAACTGTGAAACTACAATATAATGAACTGCTATATTAAACAGCACTACAATGCAATGGCTTTAAAGAAGATGTTGTTTGTTGTTCAGTCGTTTAGTCATGTCTGACTCTAACCCTGGACCAGAGCACGCCAGGCACTCCTGTCTTCCACTGCCTCCCGCAGTTTGGTCAAACTCATGCTGGTAGCTTCGAGAACACTGTCCAACCATCTCGTCCTCTGTCGTCCCCTTCTCCTTGTGGCCTCCATCTTTCCCAACATCAGGGTCTTTTCCAGGGAGTCTTCTCTTCTCATGAGGTGGCCAAAGTCTTGGAGCCTCAGCTTCAGGATCTGTCCTTCCAGTGAGCACTCAGGGCTGATTTCCTTCAGAATGGAGAGGTTGGATCTTCTTGCAGTCCATGGGACTCTCAAGAGTCTCCTCCAGCACCATTAAAGAAGATAATCCCACCCAAAAACATAGCAGCACATTTTAAAACTTCAGCATTTACACCATCCTCAGAACCACTCCACTTCATTTTTTTAAAAAAAAATCAAGGTCCTAGTCCCTGTTGCTCAAAAGAGCAGCATTGAGGTTTCCATTAAAGGGAGAGGGGTCTTCAGCCACTGCTATAGAACACCTCTTTGCTCCTTTCTCTCTGACTCATGAAACCAAAACAAGACAAAGTCTCCAAATCCACTTCATCCACATAGTTCGCCCAGATCCTCTGAATTAATTCTTGCTTTCTTGGTGCAGAAGTCTTGCGCCCTTGGTATACTACGAGCCTTTGGATACTCTAAAATGAGAGGTTGGAATCCTCTGTCTGAAGGATCCACGTTTCCACAGATAAGATCCTGAATGCTGAAAGCATTTGGGAGATACATAAAGGGGTTTTTCTTCTGTGGGGTTTCTTCTGCGAAGTGGTTGTGTGTGCGTCTTGGCATAGCCGATGGAATAGACCTGGTTCCCATTTCTGCTGCTAAGTGACAGCTAGGGAGAACCAAAGGTTGGTTCTCTGAGCTGAACCGATGGACTAGCCCTGCTTCTTTTTCAATCCCTCTGCACTGCAGCCTGGTTGGAAATTCAGCCCTCAAGTTTGGGATGGAGAACGATACGGTACGGTACAATACGATCTTCTTTATTGTCATTGTCCCATACAGAACAACGAAAATAAAATAAAAATCTACATAAGACATTCAAAACCAACAAGCCAGCTATCCCAACCTGGTTAGCCCCCTAAAAACTCTGATACCCCATTTTTAAAATACAATATACTCCCATAGAGACTCCTTAAAGGTAAAGGGGCCCCTGACCATTAGGTCCAGTCGTGACTGTCTCTGGGGTTGCGGCGCTCATCTCGCTTTATTGGCCGAGGGAGCCGGCATACAGCTTCCGGGTCATGTGGCCAGCAGGACTAAGCCGCTTCTGGTGAACCAGAGCAGCGCACGGAAACGCCGTTTACCTTCCCGCCGGAGTGGTACCTATTTATTTACTTGCACTTTGACGTGCTTTCAAACTGCTAGGTTGGCAGGAGCTGGGACCGAGCAACGGGAGCTCACCCCGTGGCGGGGATTCCAACCGCCGACCTTCTGATCGGCAAGTCCTAAGCTCTGTGGTTTAACCCACAGCACCACCTGCATTCCTATAAGAGACTCCTTACACTGTGTTTAAACCAAAATTGCATTTGGATAGAAACTGTTTCTCAGGTGGCTAGTCCTAGTCTTTATAACCCTGTACCTTCTTCCAGAAGGCAGAAGCTGAAAGAGATCATTTCCGGGGTGCGCACTATCCTGGTCCCACCAATCTCTTACTGAATGTTTGGCTGTGCTGAGGCTGATGGGAGTTGCGAGTCCAGCGACACCACATAATTTCCCCATACAGTGGTACCTCGGGTTACGTACTTAATTCATTCCGGAGGTCCGTTCTTAACCCGAAACTGTTTGTAACCTGAGGTACCACTTTAGCTAATGGGGCCTCCCGCTGCTGCCACGCAATTTCTGTTCTCATCCTGAAGCAAATTCTTAACCCGAGGTACTATTTCTGGGTTAGCGGAGTCTGTAACCTGAAGCGTATGTAACCTGAGGTACCACTGTATCTGAATCAAGTATTTCCATGGTTTCCCTTGACAGCGTTCTAAGACAGGCTTCCTCAACCTCAGCCCTCCAGATGTTTTTGGCCTACAACTCCCATGATCCCTAGCTAGCAGGACCAGTGGTCAGGGATGATGGGAATTGTAGTCTCAAAAACATCTGGAGGAGGGCTGAGGTTGAGGAAGCCTGTTCTAAGATGTCAGCTAAAGGGCAGAATGGGAAACAAGCTTAGAGCTTGAGGACTAGAATCCCCGCTCCGTTTTGAGCTGGCTGTGCCCACTCCCTCACTCCCACGCCGTTTATTTGACCCTCCACCTGCTGCGGAGAGCGTGTGGGTAATCTCCACACCCACTCTCCGCTTTTATTTTATTTTAAAGAGCGGTTCTGAAGTGTCGGTTCCGTTCCGGGCGGTAAAACCCCACGGGGGGATTCGGAGCGGCTGCTTTCTCGGTGTAACGAGGAATTATAGCATCCGTGCAGGGCTGATAATCGCTCGCTTAATAGCTTTTCCTTCTGCCGCTCGAGGGAGAGGATCTTTAAAGAGCAGCCCTGGCAAAGGAGCCATTTGGCTGCCTTCGCTTGGCTGGCGATGACTCACGGAGGCAGCGGAGATGGATGTCTGGGCTGGGCCAAGGAGGTGGCTTGATGGAGAGGATCTGTCCACGGCTGGCAACAGCTCTAGGCTGGCAGGAAAGGCACTGGTGTGGGAGATGAATGGATAGGGCCTGCGATGGGGCCACAGTCTACCGGGGAAATCCCTCCAGCTGTACGGGATACCAGCAAAATCCATGGTGAGAGGCGTTTGAGAATGGAACAGATTGCCTTGGAAGGGGACGCAGTCTTCTGAAACAAGAGGATGGCTGGCCATCTGTTAGCTGTGATTCCTGTGATGACCTTCGAGGGTGCCTTTCATAGCTATGATAATACTAGAAAACTTATTTACAGACATTAGTTTACATGACATTTCCTCAGGCTAAGTTCCCGTTTCCAATCAAACTTCACATTTAACACTGTCTGTCACTGAGACAGCTCCTGAACATGGAACCAGGCGGCTCCTTGATAGGCCCATGACAGGGCCGATGTGATAATTCGCTTTCAATCCCCTTCCCTTTGCTGTCTCATTATGCCTAATCTACCTGCCTGCAAGATCCTGAGGGGAAACAGTGACCCTTTGAATCCAGAAAGTCAAAGAGTCCAGGCTAGAGTCTGAGGTACAGTTCATAACTGTTGTAATTCCACCATTAAACAGAAGGCAATGAACTCAAATATAGAGCGTATCAGTTTTTTCTGCCTTTTATCAGAAAGCAATTAATGCTGTCACACAAGATACACAGCACTGTGCTCTTTCTCTCTGTCTATGCACAGGTGGGAAAGCTATGGACCAAACATGTATATGGCAAAATATATATACATAACAACATGGTTTCAAAGAATCTAGACACAGGGTTTCTCCTGTGATCATCCTAGATGATCGTGTGATTCTCTGATTCACTGGAGGCTTTTAAACAGGGTGTTGAACGATTTATAGCTGCTTGACTGACCAAACCCAAAGGGTGCCCACTATAATGGTTC